TTGAATACCATTATCATTCAAAGTTTTCGTATAGTTTGTGAATGATTGGAAGCTTTCAGTGGAAGAGTAGAGCTGAGTGGAAGAAGATTTTTTAACTAATGTGTTTCATTATGGACGATGAAATTCGCCCTTTATTTCAATTGTAAATTTGATTATATGTTATGTTGAGTTCTCCTTTTGTTTATGACACAATGAAGGCGTTATTATTATACTACTATTATTATTGTTTGTTGATGTATCAAACGAAATATGTCCTCATTCCTATTCTAACTACTTGATACAATAAATGAAAATCATAATTCATATCACTTTTCTATTGTTCTATATCTCTGAAATATTAGTCTCTCTCAATAAATATGACCGTTTTAGAATTAATAACAAATCAAATATGTTTCACTTAGAATGTTGGTGATTTTAACTCCTATCGTTCAAAAATTCATTACCATCTTTTTAAATTTTGAAATTTGAAATTTGAATGTAATACTGAAAATACTTGGAAAGAAAAATTCCGAAGTATTCAAGGTCACACAATGAAATATAGAACATGAAAATCCGAAAGCTCTAAATGGTCAACATGGAGACTACAATATCACGATTTCACCTGCAGACTAAGTGAATGCAGAGGGGCGTTAGACGAATATTGCACGAGATTCCTCTGCATTAATTTATGGATATGTGTACCAGACCTTTGAAAATCAATTTTTTTTTCTGAAAAATGAGGTCATCACCACTTTACAGCTAACTCCGTTACCTCTTTGGATCACTGATATCAGTTATATCACTACTTGTCCAGATTACTATTTACAATCATTTATTCACAACAACAAAATTTCCTGAGGAATTCACTTTTTTGAGTTATCAGAGTTATCGAATTCAAAATAAGTCATAGTCATCGTGCATATATAATAGAATAATCTGAGAATGTGAAGATATTTTCATTATATGAAATCATGGACTGTAGCTACTTCCATAACAGAATCTTCAATAACTTTGAGGAAGGTATCTCAACATGAATTTCGTTTCTATACAGTATATAATATGATGAAGGAGATCACATACAAAACTTGAATTGTGAATTCAATCACAACAAATTAATGAAGATAGCATGCATCCGAACAGTGGATTTTTAACTAAACTGGACGAAAAAATTGTGAAACAGAGCCAGAAGAGTTAGAGTCAGGAAGCAACAGTTATTCTGTGAGAAAAAAATTCCATCAAAACCAGTGCTGTTCTGATCTTATGTTGGAGATCCACCGAGAGGAATAAGAAAAATTGTGTCAAAATATAATCTCATAACTGACTTCAGATCAAATTAGACATACCGTCTATAGCAGCATCAAGAAAACCAAGAAACCAGAGACGTAAAATACTTGATTTGCGTTTACCACTTGAACGCAATTTGGGGTGATCAAAGGGACTTTCAAAGTCTTCATGGCAAGCGTTAATTAAACACTTTGTGGAGGTTAACGAACAAATAGGGAATAGTGAAAGATATTTGGATCGACTAACATAGTCCAAAGCTAAAATCACTTGCAGGGATAATACTAAGTTCAGGAGAATGTTTAAAGAAGATGCGACGCATTGAGCCAGACTGGTTCAAAAATCTCCAACACATATGAATTTATCCAAGCGAAAAAACGATCTACGGTATGGTGAACCGAGGAGCTTGTGTGACAGGGGGTTGTATAAGTGACCCACATATGTATTGTTTTTTTACTGACAACCAAATAATCCTGAAGAATCTTGTTTTCAAGTTATTTTCAATTTTCATTATTAATTCTAACCAATAATTTTCATCTCCTGTATCATTTTCTATTATTTGTTAACATATTCATTATTTCATTTCCGGTTCAGATCACAATTGAATTGTGTTTATATTTACCTAGAAATGTGCACTATTAGTATATCCGCTCGAAGACCGGCACAATGTTTATATTTACCTAGAAATGTGCACTATTAGTATATCCGCTCGAAGACCGGCACAATGTTTATCGTTTCTGAATATACTGCTATAAATAAAACGCAAACTTTTTCTTTTTTCTTCAAAAGCGGTTTTTTATTCTTCTTGTTTACAAAAACTGTCATTCAACTATTTTTCAAAATGTCAAAAAATACAAAGTGATTCTTATTCAAATAAAACTCAACAAATTGGATTTTTCATCTATCGTGTTATTTATCAGCTATTTTTCATAATCATGCCGCAAGGGCTCCTGAAAAATTGTAACTTCTACAGATATGGAATAATAGTATATTGAGAATTGTCAAACTGAAGTTATCTGGAAGTGAACATCTTTGATCACCCAGAGTTCATTTCTTGTAGAAATTACTGCGTTTGAAGAAAATGACTCGGGAAAATCGACAGAGGAGAATAATATTGAACCTGATCCTGCAACTAACTGAAAAAAAGAACGTGGAGAAACAAATCTCAATTCGATATGGAAGCGTGGTAGAAGTTCTTATCACAGTAGAATAATACAACCAGTAGGCTATCTTACCACGTGATCCGCATGAGTTGTCAGGGACCTCATCCAAAGCCATCAGTGCTGTAATGTTGAAGGATTTGACGGTACCACGAACATCGGATGAGTTATAATAAACGGTCGAAAATTGATATTGTGTTCAGTTTATTCGCTGTTGTTATTATTGTTTTCAGTTTTTGTAGTTGATTATAAGTAATTTACCACAAAATATTCTATTATAACCTTAAATTTCGTTTCCATATAAGCGCACGCCTATAGTAGTGGGAGTGTACTTACTGGTTGATTTTTAGTATGTTCTTATCATTTTTAGTATGTTTCATATTTGAATACTTTTTCAATAACTATGAATCATTATGTATAGCTGATTGTTATTTAACAAAATAGTTTGAATTGACAGTTTGTAACGGAATTTGATTCAGAAAGTGATAATGAAGTAATGTTTTTCAGTATGTTCCATTACTACTTTCTACTTACTTACTACTTTCAATCATATACGCAATGAATTAGTCAATTGCATTCTCTTTCATATGCATCTCGAAACATATCTGCAAATTGCATTGTATCTGTATCGTTCAAGTTTCATGAAGTAATTAAATAAATTTATCTGTCATTCAAACCGTTTATATTGTATCACGTGCCAAAAAAAAACAAAATAACTTTGTATTAAAAGGTTAGAAAGTTTTTGAAGGGTCCGGTAACAGTCGCACAAGAGGCACGTTCAAAAAATTGCATGGCAGCTTAGTCGGGTATAAGTTGGGAGACTCGCGCTAGTTAGATATGGTTCTGTTTCCCAGAGCCAACAAAAATCAATTATAACTGCAAACTTCAGTAAACCCTTGTTTCCTTTGCGATTTTGTGTATCTCTGAGTTTTACGAAATAAGTTTAGACATATCTACTAGAAAAAATTCAAGAAGATTATACTACTCATCCCAATCACTTTTCTTTAAGATCGTAGAAATAAATAACTCAAGTTGTATCGACTGTTATCACCCCTACGTGATCACTTTGAGTGTACACTTTCAATATTTTTCAAGGCCGAAGGCTCTTAAAGTTAAAACGAATGCAATAATCAAATAAATTTATCCTAAATATTTGTTTTCCAGAACAACAAATAAAAAGTAATAAAATCATGCAGCTTATCTGAGTAATTGATGAAAAGAATGGCTCCCCTGTCCTTTGGCACACGGTATATCAGTCACAGCCATCCGATCCGTGTCCACGTTACGAAGCTCGATCGCTTACAATTTCTCGGTACTGCCTCGAACGACCGGTAATGGAAGATTGTAAAAATAATCGTATGGAAGTCCTGTTGGAATCTAATGACCGAACGATCAAAATAGTGGAATGGTAATGGTTTAGTAACTGACGGTAGTACTTAAGGACAGGACCAACACCAAGACCAGAATCTTAAAAAATAATCACCATGATAATACTCTGTAGAGTGAGGGTATTTTCGATTAACGAAGTTTTGCCGGATAACGTTAATCCTTCCCATAGAAGATCACCACAAAGTGATGGAACGATATGCGATTAGCAAAAGTGCATTCATCCACAAGAACTAGCACTTCAACTTGGGAAATCCGACATTTTGATTTCTCCCTGTTTCGTACGGATTTTATAAATGAAGTTAAAATATCCACCTACCTTTCTTAACCTAATTCAATCCCATATTTGAAAAAAAAACTGATAAGTAAATTATACTCGGCAAGCGGTGAAACCTCATGAATACGACAATCTTAGTTGTTCCGCTATACACCAAGAATATGCAACCCACTTGGCGTTTTAATGTTGACATGTGGCTTCAATTCTGAAGTCAGTTATACAAACAATTTACGACTCCCAACGAAAATTAACTCAACTAAAACCGAATATGAGGTTAAATTCATTTTGAACCGTTTCAGTTGAAGTAATTGGACAACTTCGAAAATTTGGATGTGACAGAAATGTTCATGAATTTAAAAAAAACACTCGGATGTGTTGAAAAACAATTTATGGATTTCACACCACGATAATGCACCTGCTCATACTTCATTGCTTGTTTGTGAACTTCGTTGCAATACCCAAGCAATTGTTTTCGTCAGATATGGGCACCTGTGTGTTTTTCTTTTTCCAGCAATGAAGAGAACTTCAAAGAGCCGTCATTTCACAATCATGAACGATATTGAAAGGGCATCGTTATAGGCTATCTCAAAGATCGAGTGTGAGAAGTGTTTCGAGTCGAGTCGAAGATGCGCCAGCCTGAGTATATAATCATAATAGGGACTATTTTGAAGACAACAACATCAATATAGACGAGAATTTTTTTTTGAAAAAAGTAAAATTGGAGAAATAGGTTTTTTGACACCAGTTATTCATCAATGAAACAATACCACTTTTTTCATTTTTCTCACAGCTTACCAATTATTTTGTTACACCTTTCCTTTCCGTCATTAACAACTAGCTCTCAGACCCGAGTTTAATCTTCCAGAAAATACCCGCAATCGCAGAACAATTCCTCAAAAGTATTTCTGTTGTTTCAGGAACAAAGCCACAAATCGTATCGACCGCTGTGCGTTCTAACGTTCAGATGGAACTATTTGCTTTGGCAATTAGAGCCGATGGGATACCATCTGGTGAACATGCTTCTCCACTCTGTGGTCTGTCTGATGTATTTCAGGTAAGTGAACTGTCGAAATGCTCAACTCGAACTGAAATATATTTTCACATCAATCCAGTTGGGGTGAGTATTATTGGATTAGTTGCTCTGTTCGAAGTGTTCCAGTTACAGCATCCCCAAACTTACTTCGGGAGTTATTCATCGATGTTTTCAATGCAGTAGAAGATCCAATTCAGAAACGACCCTCACCCATCTGTTTAATCGCCGAAATTTAGTTGTTGGAAAATTAATAGCAAGTGGGTTAGTTGGAGAAAACTTGGCTTGATGATCAATAAAACATTCCAAAATGACTCTTTTCTTAGGCTTTTTTCAAAACCTCATATTAATTGGTTGAATGGACAAGTTTTAACAATCATAGGTATAAACAGGTGCATGGATACTTGTGATTTACCCTGTTCAATAATTGTTTTTTTATTATTTATTTATTTACAGTCGCATCGACCTCTAAAGTCATTAGATATATTACATGTCCATGGAAGAAAACTTAGAGAGTGTGTAACAAATTGGTATTTCCTAGTCGAGCTAATGGATTATTATTATCACATTCATCTCCTGATATTATGTCCTTTATTGATGGTGGGAAGCCAAAATCTTTCGTTGTGATATAGCACGCACTCGGTGAGAATATGAAGACTATCACACACTTCACATACTGGGGGTTCTTCTTCAGATAGTAGATACCCATGTGTGAGACGAGTGTGACCTAGACGAAGACGTGATAAAATGACCTCGGCTTTTCTTTCTCATTGGGGGTATTTTTCCAAGGAGATACGGACTGTTTTATCTTATGAAGTTTTGATGATGAACTATTTCATTGGGATTTCCAACTGCTTGTATAGAGATTTCAGATCCGTATGAATGGCAAGTGATCTGTTAGCGGGTTAGTAATTGCTTCTTTTACTGATTTGTCAGCTCTTTCATTTCCAACTATGCCATTGCGAGAAGAGATCCACATAAACGGAATGAGAATGTTTTTTGATGTAGTGAGTGGAGAGGCTGTTTTATAAGAAGCAAGATGGAATGATTGATGTATATTTATGTAATTGCTTCGAGAGCGTGCAGTGAATCTGTGACAATCAAGCATTTTGGGATGTTCTTTTTCTCCATGTACCTTAATGCTCTCCAAATAACGTATAATTCACCTGTGAGTATTGTGTTTCCTTTCGATAATTTAAATGAACAGCTGAAATCAGAGCTGGTGTAAGCTGCCCCTACTCCATCTTCCGTTCTAGATGCATCAGTGTATAATAGAAAGGAGTCTTTCTGGAACAAGAAGTTTGTTGAATGTTACATTGATCATTCTTTTCGTCAAATTGTAGCAGTCCATATTCAATTTTGGATCGAGAGATTATCCAGGGGGAGTATTGGGTGTATTGAGAATTGAGAAAGTACTTGGTTGTTTGAGTTGGAGACTCTTAAGATACTGGTTTTTAAAGAAAAATTATAATTAAAATAAGAGCTGTTTTATTGTGATCAAGATGGCATAGTGTTGTTTCGATGCCTCATATGCCTGAATAATGGAATAATGGTTGGCGACCTTTTGATGTCATGTATATAAGAAGAGGATTACGTGTATTACGTGCTATTAGTTGGTATTACTGACAGACTAGCAGTACTGTATTCTGATATCAGATTCATTCAATAAACAGATGGGTGTGAATTACTATAGTCCGTTCATAATTTGTCGATAGCACAAAATGAGGGCCCAAGTCATATAACGGTCGTAAAACTCGTAAAATCATAGGCGGAGGTTCCTGAGGTGTTTATTCATTAAATATAAAGCTTCAGTTTATATTCGAAACTTGCCTTGAAAGGGTGAAGTTGTTACGAACGAAAATAATTTTTGGTTTAGTACATTTTTTAATCGCATTTAATTTACGGCTCGTTGGTGTTTCGGCGTCTACGGCAGTAATTAACGTCTCNTAAATAAAAATACAGTTTACAGTACCTACAGTTTAAGAATATTAATATATTTATTTATTTAAAGTAACTAATGTTTTAATCATATACTCTACGACACTGGTCACTCATTTCCACTCAAAATACCTACATAATCGGATTAAAAGTTTTATAGCTGTATTGTATTTCTTCAGATACAAGGTGGGTTAGTCGAAAACATCTTAAACTGCCAGTTTTAGTTTGGTTTTTGTTATTATATCATATTAGCTGTCCTCTCTGTATTTCAGTTCTCTAATGAGGGTCAAACTTGCAGTGAGCTATCAACAAATTATGAACGGACTATAGTATCAGTTCACTTATCCATACTCACTAAGCCATTAGTTATGCCAAAACAACGTTTGTATATTTTGTAGGCTCCATTTGTTATTTGTTATTTTTAAGAAATGAGTATGATATTTGGAAAGGGGTAATTTTGAATTTCCAGTCGATCGTATGATTTTTTTCAGCTAGTCTACTTGAGATTCATTCTATAATAATAATAATAATTATTTTATTACCCATTATCGGTACATAATGTACATATGGTAAGTCAATAATTGTAATATATGTTATATACATATTAAGAATGAAATAATAGTCATACTTGAATAACAAATTGAAGAAAAAAGATAAAATATAAATATAAAAACATAAAACATATAACATACTGAACTTCATATGAAATACTTTTCGTCGATTAAACTGATGAATGAAGATAAGTAGTTCCCAATTCGTATATTGGACTAATATATTTCACTTGATGAAGAGTGTATAACGTAAAATACTGTTAGTATCTTCACCAACTGTTTAACGCAACGAATCTGATATGTGAGAAGATTTATTCGAAAATTAAGTGGTGTTTTCCCATTTTTCCACTCTATTACATCCCATTCGAGAACAACACAGGGTGACAAGCTGAAAATCTCAGCCAACCGAATGCAATGTGATATTTAAGTTTTCAGTTGTTTTTCGGATGGTTCTATTGCTTTTCGTCCAACAGTTTTCAAAAAACCGCGTTCCAGGGTTATCAGTAATATAAGTATACAAGAATTGCTTGCACTAATAATAACGCTGTCCAGAATATTATTCAAGTAAGAATTACTGTATCGAGTCAACTTTCAATTGAAATGGTCGAACTGGTGAAAATAGTTTTAAGAGAAGTAATAAACTTTCAATGACGGTGTATTAAAATTAATGAAATGGTATATATTCAATCATGGAACTGGCTGTAACTTGAAGAAAATCCATATTTCAACGTTCTAATTCAGTTTATTGTAAGATTTTCACGAAAAAAGGTGACTCGTGTTCCACTATACGATAGCTTTTTTAAGTTTTTCCATTCCTGCTTGGAACCTAAGACCGTATGATCTTAGTTTCCATCTTGTGTCCAGTATTCGAGAAGTCAATTCGAATGGCATAAAACTAAATAGTTACGGAACGTTGGCAATGTTTTGTATGGCATGGGCGGCGTGGTACGAAATTATTGTGATCTAATTATTATTTTCATATGGGAGATTTTATATGGTATTAACAAGTGAATTTATCAGACCCGATCCATTGGTCTTCCATTTAGCTGTTCGAATTGACTTTGTATGGACATACTCGTCGTTCAGTCTTTTGAATCGCTAGAATTGGAAAGCGATTGAAAGACGTTGTTATCGGCGCTGTTGATTTGCCAGATGTCAGCCTCTTCTGTAGGAATAACACAAAACTTCGCATATAAACAAGCCAACGGTTGTGGTTTCAAGGGTCTAATTTGGTGTGGCGCCCTGAGTTTCCCTAATATTTCAAATGATGCCATGATGGCATCCAGCCGCAGCAATATGTGGTGAAGCTGCCAGTTTTACCACTCTGTTAGCAGACTGGGCAGGAGCTGCATAGTTTTTCCGCCGTAGATGGCCCCTTAGCATGAACCTACAGATATCGTTGAGTTGTCAGTGAACTTGAACGTGGTGAAGCTGATGAAAAGAAGAACAAGAACATCCGGCGTAGAATAAATCCTAACCAAAAAACGTTCACAAATACCAGAACTGCAACACTCCTTGACGCATGTTTCACTGAACGAATTGGCGTCTTCTGGAGATGAAATAGACAAGTTTCAAATTCTTAAACTGATGTCTGTTTATTTACTACCAGCGTACCCTTACACATCCAGATGCACATCGATTATTTTGGGAAGATTATCGTTAGAAATTTGTACAGAGCGTTTCATATGTAGATGAACAATGAGCTGTATGAATTGGGCTCTTTGTCACTGTTTATAGTTCTGATGCCGCTATATCTAGGCATGTGCTAGATGTTCTTTGGGACCAGTTTCAATAGCTTGCTTGGTCTGACCTATGTATTTTCCGTCAAAGTCTTCACAATCCATTTTAGCTCACAATTTCCAAAGCAAACAATGAGTTTTGAAGGTACTTTCACGTTCAACTCTTTCAAAATGCGAACAATCTGTTGAAATTTCTTGGTTTATGAGGGAGAACAAAGAACTAGGAATTTTCCTCTACGTGTTTTGAAGACACCAACTTGGTCTCGACTTGCGTCGAGAAAAGTGTTTCAATTCTAGTGTTTGGAAACAGTGCTCATTACGGATGGTGAAGCTGGTTTGATGTTTGGTAGTATAGTCTGTAGGATTATATATCGTAAAAATGACAATGATCACCTCTAAAGCAGAAGATGTAGGTCACAGGAACTTGACCCATCAACAAAGTATCGCCAGAAGAGAGTAATTTCTATGAGGCATTGTAGAGGGTTGAATCATGAAGGACAATGAAGTCGATGGCATTATCTATATTTATAAATGCATAAATCACTCACTTAACACTCATCATTCATCTATGTTTCTTTGTACTTGTAAGTCCTAGGAAGCTAAAATTCAGTATATAAGTGCTTCATAGATCTTATATCCGCACTGAGAAAAGATTTTCAAATATTCCAACTGAAGCGCCCTCGTGGGGATTGAAGGGGAGTATTTACATATGAAAATTACTTTTTCATCACTGTTTTGAAAATGTGCAATGAGAAAGGATTTTTGGATATTCAAACTGAGGCGCCCCCTGGAAATA